AAAATCTTTCAGTTCGGTGTCCGGGACTATGACCATTTTTTACAGTGAATAGGAGTCAGAGAGAGATGGACCAAATCTTTGTCCATGAGCACTTCCCTATTGGGCTTCAGTCAAAAATGTCTCCTTTAAACCATCATCGTTCTGTAGATCTCACTAAATGTCGTATTTGCTCCTTGGAGTTTCCGGCTCCGTCACATTTTTAGATTATCTTTTTCAGACAGACCACGCCCACTCAGCCAATCAGCCAATCAGCTCACAGCTCAAAGAGTCAAACAGTGACGCACAGGGCTCTTTATTACAACTATACAAAGGTAAGAGTTTTCTGATGAGATGAAGAATGAAGCATGTTTTGGTCAGATTTGTCCAGAAAAATAGACTTTTACACGACTTTTCTTTAGGGACAAACAAAAAGTAAAGTTCATTTTTAAAAAGTTAGCTTAGCTTTAACTCAGGACCACGGTTAGCATTTGTTCTGTCCTCACTAAACGTTGGGAGCTATTTCGCGAAAACAGACAGCTGACAGAGAGTTTGTTTGAGAAGTTGTTTACTTGATATTTACTGTGAAACTGTAACACAAAAATGCAACTATTAGAATAAGTGAATGACTGTATCCTCTTGTGTCTGAACTAACAGTAGTTTCTGTCTAATAACATTTAGAGAGTTGGTTTGAACATTTAATACATTTGCATTACAGTGTTACACGATGGCCCTCATTCATGAAAGTTGCGCAGAAAAGGTTGTATATTTTTGGTGTATATTCCATTTACACCAGACTCAGCGTGGGATTAATGAACGTGTGAGATACGCACAGATCTGAGCGTACGCAGCCGCGGCTGTTGATTAATGCTGCTGTGAAAACCAGCGTATTTATGAAAGTCACGCCTAGAAATAACCGGAAAAAGGTGCCTTGCCCTCTACAGGTGAGTGGAGAGGTCCTTCCTCAAGTGGAGGAGTTCAAGTATCTCGGGGTCTAGTTCACGAGTGAGGGAAGAATGGAGCGTGAGATTGACAGGCGGATCGGTGCAGCGTGCGCAGTGATGCGGTCTCTGTATCGGACCGTTGTGGTAAAGAGGGAGCAGCGTCTGCAGTCAGAGCTGTATCGGACCGTTGTGGTAAAGAGGGAGCAGCGTCTGCAGTCAGAGCTGTATCGGACCGTTGTGGTAAAGAGGGAGCAGCGTCTGCAGTCAGAGCTGTATCGGACCGGTGTGGTGAAGAGGGAGCAGCGTCTGCAGTCAGAGCTGTATCGGAACGTTGTGGTAAAGAGGGAGCAGCGTCTGCAGTCAGAGCTGTATCGGACCGTTGTGGTAAAGAGGGAGCAGCGTCTGCAGTCAGAGCTGTATCGGACCGTTGTGGTGAAGAGGGAGCTGAGCCGAAAGGCAAAGCTCTCAATTTACCGGTCAATCTTCGTTCCCTCCCTCACCTATGGTCATGAGCTTTGGGTAATGACCGAAAGAACAAGATCGCGGATACAAGCGGTCGAAATGAGCTTCTTCCGCAGAGTGGCTGGGCGCTCCCTTAGAGATAGGGTGAGGAGCTATGTCACACGGGAGGAGCTCGGAGTAGAGCCGCTGCTACTCCACGTCGAGAGGAACCAGTTGAGGTGGCTCGGGCATCTGTTCCGGATGCCTCCTGGACGCCTCCCTGGGGAGGTGTTCCGGGCACGTCCCACCGGGAGGAGGCCCCGCGGAAGACCCAGGACACAGAGGGACTATGTCTCTCAGTTGGCCTGGGAACGCCTTGGGGTGTGGATAGGGAAGTCTGGGCGTCTCTGCCTAGACTGCTGCCCCCGCGACCCGGCAACGGATGAAGCGAAAGAAGATGGATGGATGGATGGACGCCTAGAAATACTCAGAAAACTCCCAGTTTTTACGACAGGTCAGAAGGAAGCCGGCCAGAAAGTCTGGTTGGAAGCATCAGAAGGCCTGTTAGTGACATGCACTGAGTTTATATTGAGTTTGATTGCATTATTTTGTCAAAAGAAAAAGAAAACCCCGCTATATTATATATACTCATTTTTTCCCAAGTGTCTAGACCCACTGCAGCACTAATCTCTTTAGAAATGAATGAATGAATATTAATATCTCAGCAGTGACTCTCATCTGGGTCGAGCATCAGCGACATCTTCTCGTAAGCGCCTTCACAGAGCAGGATCACAAAGTGCTTCACATTAAAAATAAAAAAACACACAGATGAAAATAATACACAAAAGTCAGATTTAAAAAACGAAGAAACAGAAGAGGGTCCTCATCATGAAAGTATCATAATCTGGGATTTATTCTAAATGTGTGTGTTTCCAGAGTGTTAGACTTTTTCTGATGTGCAAATTCAAATTTAGAAACATGAAACTCAATGAAAACACGGTTTATAATTTTGCCGGAGTGATCATGTTTATTGTTGTCCAAATCTTGAATTTCATGCGTGTTTTGAGGTGTTGTGACGAAGGTTGAAATGAGCGTACACATTTACACCACTTCCTGACTTGGTGTAAATTCACGTCCAGATTGATAAATGCCAAAAAGCGTAATTTTTTTGCGTACGCCTCATTTACACCAGATTTGGCCGTACACAAGTTTCATACATGAGGCCCAATGGCTCTTATTCAAACGACTCTCATCTAAATGTGATGTGTAAATAAAGCTGTCCAATTGGTCTAATTTGCATATGAAAGTCCGCTAGCATAATGCTAACGAACTCATATTTGCCTACAAGAAACAAATCAAGGTCTCAGTAGTTACAGAATAATGCAATATAGACATTTCAATCACCAAAACCAAAACTAGCAACCGTCAAATTGAAAACGTAGCGCACGCCACATTTTCCAACTTATTTTGATCTATGTAATTTACGAACCATAACAACATTTAATATTAGTTTTAAAACTGGTACAATGACATTTACAACCGGTACAATAGTTTGACTCTTGAACAGACATTATGAATCATTTGCATTCGGACATAATTTCATATCTTTATCATTCATTACTGCACAAATCAGACAAAGCCGCTCCATTAGCATAGGTTAGCGACTTTAGCAAAGGTTAGCGACTTTAGCAAAGGTTAGCGACTTTAGCAAAGGTTAGCGACTTTAGCAAAGGTTAGCGACTTTAGCAAAGGTTAGCGACTTTAGCAAAGGTTAGCGACTTTAGCAAAGGTTAGCGACTTTAGCATAGGTTAGCGACTTTAGCATAGGTTTGCGACTTTAGCAAAGGTTAGCGACTTTAGCAAAGGTTAGCGACTTTAGCAAAGGTAAGCGACTTTAGCAAAGGTTAGCGATTTTAGCAAAGGTTAGCGACTTTAGCAAAGGTTAGCGACCTTAGCATAGGTTAGCGACTTTAGCATAGGTTTGCGACTTTAGCAAAGGTTAGCGACTTTAGCATAGGTTTGCGACTTTAGCAAAGGTTAGCGACTTTAGCAAAGGTTAGCGACTTTAGCGACTTTAGCAAAGGTTAGCGACTTTAGCAAAGGTTAGCGACTTTAGCGACTTTAGCAAAGGTTAGCAACTTTAGCAAAGGTTAGCAACTTTAGCGACTTTAGCAAAGGTTAGCGACTTTGGCAATGGCAAAAGTACCGCAATCCAATTTTCCTTTTTTGTTGCCGGCGGTCAGCCTTTGTCAATCCCCTGACACCATGGAAATAGTGTTTCTATATATTCCTGTAATGGAACAGCCAATCTATCTGTTCACACACATAATTAGAAGTAAATAAAGTAATTACTCCTGCATATAAATAGCCGTCATTACGAGGCGCGGTGGAGAAGTGGTTCTTTTAGTCGGACTGATTCGGATCTAAATTGATTGCTGAGGGATTATCCAGGATTTATTAAATATTAAGGCATTGACTGTCGGTAATAAGTTCATAATTAAGGTTTTTCAGAGTCAGGGCAAAAATTGGTAGAAACTGTGCGAAGCCAATGCATCAATTATAGTTTTCATTCTGGTGTCATAATTAAGAAGGCTGGAGAGGAGCGCTCTTTGGAAGACTCGTTAGGCTGTTATTTGGATTACAGCGAACAATATGACAAACACAACTATCAGCCGCAAATGTGATCAGCCAATTAGGGCTCTTGGTTCGTGGAGAATCGCCGTGAACTGTAAATCCTTCTCACAAACACGGGTTGACTTTGAAAAGCGTTTGTTTAGAATCGTTTGTCGGCTCCAAGGGTGTTTTTTTCAGTCGTTCATGTTTCAGTCTTGGATTTTGAGCCCGATTTCACTTTTTAAATCAGGTCTTTTTGGTGCAAAATGAGAAATAAGTTACAAAGTCAAATTTGGTAAAATGTGTCTTAATCTGAGCACAATGGGCCTCATTTAAGAAACTTGCAAACGTCCAAATCAGGTGTAAATGAGACGTACGCAAACAATTTACACTTTTCCGCATTTAAGATAAGATAAGATGAACCTTTATTAGTCTCACAGTGGAGAAATGTCAGTGTCATCGTTGCACATTACAGCAGAGAAAGGAAATAAGAGCACTCAGATTGCTCTTTATACGCACAGAATATACGGCAAGTCTGGAGGTGGTGTAAACGTGTACGCTCTTTTCAACCTTCGCCAAAACACACATGAAATTCAAGATTTAACAATAAACATGATCACTCTGGCAAAATTATAAACTGCGTTTTAATTGAGCTTCATGTTTCTAAATTTGAATTTGCGCATCAGAAAAAGTCCAACACTCTGGAAACACACACATTTCAAATGAATCACAGATCATGATGAGGACCTGTTTCTTCTTAAAATCTGAATTTTTTTTTGTATTATTTTCATCTGTATGTTTTTTGAATGTGAAGTGCTTTGTGATCCTGCTCTGTGAAGGCGCTATACTAATACACTTGACTTACTTACTTAATGTGTGACCATCTGTTTCCCCGTACATCTGTGGCAGACCATTATAGCCAGTATTACGCTTGGCTTTTTGTTTTGTCTCATTCACCTTTGGCAAAACAACGTTTGTTTTCATTAGTTTTGTGCATGAAGCCCCATAAACACAGCAATGGCAGAGATGTGCCAAAGCGCTGTGGGGACGGGCTCACAGAGGTCACGGGCTCACAGGTGCCACAGAGGTCACGGGCTCACAGAGGTCACGGGCTCACAGAGGTCACGGGCTCACAGAGGTCACGGGCTCACAGAGGTCACGGGCTCACAGGTGCCACAGAGGTCACGGGCTCACAGAGGTCACAGGCTCACAGAGGTCACGGGCTCACAGGTGCCACAGAGGTCACGGGTTCACAGATGTCACAGAGGTCACAGGCTCACAGAGGTCACGGGCTCACAGAGGTCACGGGCTCACAGGTGCCACAGAGGTCACGGGCTCACAGAGGTCACGGGTTCACAGGTGCCACAGAGGTCACGGGCTCACAGAGGTCACGGGCTCACAGAGGTCACAGGCTCACAGGTGCCACAGAGGTCACAGGCTCACAGAGGTCACAGGCTCACAGAGGTCACGGGCTCACAGGTGCCACAGAGGTCACGGGTTCACAGATGTCACAGAGGTCACAGGCTCACAGAGGTCACGGGCTCACAGGTGCCACAGAGGTTACGGGCTCACAGAGGTCACGGGTTCACAGGTGCCACAGAGGTCACGGGTTCACAGAGGTCACGGGTTCACAGAGGTCACAGGCTCACAGGTGCCACAGAGGTCACGGGCTCACAGAGGTCACGGGCTTACAGAAGTCACAGGCTCACAGAGGTCACGGGCTCACAGGTGCTACAGAAGTCACAGGCTCACAGAGGTCACAGGCTCACAGGTGCCACAGAGGTCACGGGTTCACAGGTGCCACAGAGGTCACGGGTTCACAGAGGTCATGGGTTCACAGAGGTCACGGGCTCACAGGTGCCACAGAGGTCACGGGCTCACAGAGGTCACGGGCTCACAGAGGTCACAGGTGCCACAGAGGTCACGGGCTCACAGGTGCCACAGAAGTCACGGGCTCACAGAGGTAATGGGCTCACAGGTGCCACAGAGGTCACGGGCTCACAGAGGTCACGGGCTCACAGGTGCCACAGAGGTCACGGGCTCACAGAGGTCACGGGCTCACAGAGGTCACGGGCTCACAGGTGCCACAGAGGTCACGGGCTCACAGAGGTCACAGAGGTCACGGGCTCACAGAGGTCACGGGCTCACAGAGGTCACGGGCTCACAGGTGCCACAGAGGTCACGGGCTCACAAAGGTTCCAGAGGTCACGGGCTCACAGAGGTCACGGGGTCACAGGTGCCACAGAGGTCCCACCGCACTCGCCGTATGTGGTGCGTCTTTTGGAGTTTCTCTGTGAAATCACAGAGATTGCTCCTTTGCATTCACAAGCATGTTCTCCCCGTGTCTGCTCCGGTTTCCTCCGGGTGCTCCGGTTTCCCCTACCACTAAAAATATGTACAATAGGTCTGACATGTGCCTCCTGTACTGGCACCCCCACTACCAAAATTAACAATTGTAAACCACTTTGAGACTCCGATGTGCAGTGAAAAGGCGGTATATAAATAAAGATTACTTACTTACTTACTTACAAGAAGATGTCGCTGACGCTTCACCCGGTTAATGATGAGAGTCACCGCTGAGATACTAATATTCATTCATTCATTTCTAAAGAGTTGAGCGCTGCAGTGGGTCTAGACACTTGGGAAGAAACGCGTATATATAATATAGCGTTTTTGTGTGTGTTTAAAACAAAACAATAAAACTCAATATAAACTCAGGCCTTCTGATGCTTCCAACCAGACTTTCTGGCCGGCTTCCTGCTGACCTGTATACATATAATATTTCGTAAATACGCTGCGTACGCTCAGATCTGTGCGGATCTCACACGTTCATGAATCCGGCGAGTTTGGCGTGAATGGAATATCCAAAAATACACACCCTTTTCTGTGCAACTTTCATAAATGAGACCATTGTGACTGAGCCTTAAAACAATGAGACAAAGCAAAATGTTTTTTCAAAAATACACAAAACAGAACCAACACATTTGGAATGAGACAAACAGTTTTAGAAATAAAACTAACTGTCTTTGTCTCGTTGGAGAATCTAGTTTTAAGTCAGAATGTGCTCGTGATAAGAAATAAAACCGCTTGATTACAGCAATAATCAGTTTTTTGCAGTGTAAAACTAAACAACAGCAGTGGATTCCTCGTCAACAGAAAATCAAACTACAACATTGGTCCATAGTATTTTAAATTATCATTAATCATTGGTGTTTATGAATTTTATGATTGGTCCAGAGTTAGATAAAACACATTTTTATTTCAGAAAATTCAAACCTGAACATATGATGAATCTCATGTTAAATAAAAGCAATGTCACAATAACTTCATAATGAAAAAAATGTATTATGGTCTTTGTGATATTTTGTGAAGAACCCAAACTTCAACATCTCCATCTTCCTCTCATTAGTCACTATTTGAGGCTTTGGGCTGAGAGCTGATTGGCCGAGTGAGGGTCCTCCTCTTTTTCCCACTTTTCAGTCTGAACAATCTGGTTTATTGATGTGACAAAGGCCAGAAACAAATGAAAACCAGTTTCAGAATCAGCCTGTTTGAGAGAGAGACTCTGGCCACATGGTTAAAGGTTGGCTGAATATTGCGTACCCGAGCTTTAACTGTTTTATCACAGTAATCAAAGAATAACTGTTGAACTCATTAAAACAACACATTTGCAGAACGTCGCGGGTGAGAATTGTTCCTTTGAATCTCGAACCCAGGACTCTCTGTTTACCGTGTTTTTGTTTTTCTCGTTCTTCAGAGAGAATGAAAAAGGTAGTTTTTAAACCTTCAACTCAATATCGACTATCGCACAAGAGCGAGAGAAACCTCTGACTTTCACATCATAAAAGATTTAGTCACAAAGAGCGGCTGTTTCACGTCTTTCTCCAGAACAGAGAAAGAGGTCTCTGTTGTGGAAACTCCAGGATAACTATGGCTAGCTCCGAGCTAAACTGTGGCGTTAGCTGTTAGCATGATCTGTTTACATACAGTCTATGGGAGTGCCAGGTCCTCCAGGGGCATCAGCTTTTTCAGTACAAAAATGAAGATAAAATCCCATAATCACTGACTTTTAGTGCAAAGAAGAAATGGCCAACTGTGGATTTGGCTAAAGAAAAATCTAAGTGACAGAACTTAAAAAATCGAAATTACAGCACTTTAAAAATCTAAATTACAGCACTTAAAACATATAAATTGCAGCACTTAAATAACATGACAGTCCCACAGTGGGAAAATTTCAGTGTTGCATCACCAGGTACAGCACAAGATGAATGAAGGATTACTCTATTCTAAAGTAAATTAAAATAAAATCTCATAATAAAAAAGAAAGTCTAAAATCTTTAAAATAACAACAAAGTAAGAATTAAGTATAAAATCTCTGACACCAACTTTAGCATAATAATAAGTAAGTATAAAACATAATATCATTATAAATCCATCTATAATCTAAAATAAATATGTTGTAGTCTCAAACCAACTCTGTGTCTTTAAACCCAGACACATCCGTCACGCCGCAGAGAGCGCCGCTGCCCCCGGTGGTGACGGAGGAGAAGGCTCTCAGTTAATCACGGAACAACGGGAGGACGCCGCGGTGGGAGCGGTGAGGGATGCGCCGCGCTCAGGCCCAGGCCCACGTTTAATTGCCTTTCAGATAATCTCATGCCTCTTCAAAGGATCCCGGCGGTGACGAACGAGCGCCGGTTCAGGACCACGGACAGTTCAGGGCAAGACCAGAGACGGTTTAAGACCAGATACAGTTCAGGACCATGGACAGTTCAGGACATTTACCAGAGATTGTTTAGGACTAGAGACAGTACAGGACCATTACCAGAGACAGTTCAGGACCATGGACAGTTCAGGACCAGAGACTGTTCAGGACCAGATACAGTTCAGGACCATGGACAGTTCAGGACATTTACCAGAGATTGTTTAGGACCAGAGATAGTACAGGACCAGGACCAGAGAGAGTTTTGGACCATTACCAGAGACAGTTCAGGACCATGGACAGTTCAGAACCAGAGAGACTACTGTGGATGTGATTTATGATATAATTATACAGTGGCTCAGTGTGTAGAGTATTGGCCTTTGAGCCTGAAGGTCATGAGTTCGAGCCCACCGCGAGACCTTCTCCACCGACTCCACTGTCTCCTCTTCCTTGTCTCCTCTTCTCGTCGGCTCCTCCTCTCCTTGCTTCCTCTTGCCTCCTTTCCTCCTCCCGCCCCCTCGTCTCCTCACCTCCTCCTCTCCTCGCCTCCTCTCGCATCCTTGTGTCATTTTGCACCCTTTGATTTGAAGTGAACATGAGGAGATCGTCCTCTGAATGACAGAACCGTCTCCAGATGTTTCCACGGCGACACACGAGCCAATCAAACGCCGCGTCCACTCCAACATCCAACAAACCGTTTGGAAGCCGCAGCAGGGACCGAAGCCACCGCCGAGACGGCATCTGGGCTGGTTTTATGAATGACACGTCCAGATCATTCCATCTCCAGGAGAATGACTCACTTCTGTGTGGTTTACGGTCTGCAGGTCGGGTTGAAATGAGGCCGGGAAAGGGTGGCGTGTTGTTTGCACCCGTGTGGGATTTTCAACAAGGAAAGGGGAGGTAGGGACGTGTCAAAACAATCTGCTGACTTTTCAAAATGCGTCTTGGTACATCCAGGTCAAAGAGAGAGACCAGAGAGAAAAAGAAGGAGAGAGACCAGAGAGAGAGAGATCAGCAAGAGACCAGAGAGAGATTAAAGGGGAAGACCAGAGAGAGACATCAAAGAGATCAGAGAGACACTAAAGGGGCAGACCAGAAACAGAGAGACCAGAGAGAAAGGCCCGAGAGAGACCAGAGAGTGAGAGAGAGAGAGACCAGAGAGATATTAAAGGGCAAGCCCAGAGATAGACTAAAGGGGGAGACCAAAGAGAGAGACCAGAAAGAGAGATCAGAGAGAGACCAGTGAGAGAGCAGAGGGAGCCCAAAGGTCTTGGTCTCTTGGTCCAAAGCTTCATTCCAGATGCTGTCGATGTTGAGGGGAGTTTTTTAGACCAGTCTAGTTTAGCCTCTGCGGACTTTTGAATGCACTGGTTAAATGCATGGGGCCAGTGCATTTAACACATGCGTTTATTTCACATCTTCCATCCCCAGCGGCCATTTTGAAAAGGCCCCACAGACGGTGTCAGTGGTGGTACCGGAGAAAGGCGTCACTTCATCTGTTAATATTTACAGTCTGTGGATTACACTTGTGTTGAGTACAATAAGACGTTCCTTTCTCCCGCTGATCACGCCGCCGCCGTCCTCCTCAGTCCTGGCCTGTAATTCACAAACCCCTCAGATTACAACATGAATGACAAGACTCGTTCCGACAGCTGCGGTTTGACGCTGAGGGGAAGAGAGAGCTGCCAGCGCAGATATTTCCTCTTTTCCTTTTTTCTGTCTTCTTGAGGGGGACCCGAAAACACGATGCGGCGAGATTGTAATTACGATCAAGCAGCTGGCTCATTGTGCGGCGGGCGGGGGGGGTCTGTTGGGCCACATGTTACGAGATGCGCGTGTCTCCGGTAGCAGTGCCCATCACGGCGCGTAATGAATAAATCTGAGGACATGATGGAGGAGGCAGGAGCGGGCGGAGAGGGAGGGTGGATGCAACAATTTGGAAGCAGTTTTATCGACTGAGAACAATGTCATCAAATCAAGTCTCCGAAGACAGCGGCGTGATGTGGAGACTGTGGCGTGATGTGGAGACTGTAGCGTGATGTGGAGACTGTGGCGTGATGTGGAGACTGTGGCGTGATGTGGAGACTGTGGCGTGATGTGGAGACTGTGGCGTGATGTAGAGACTGTGGCGTGATGTGGAGACTGTGGCGTGATGTGGAGACTGTGGCGTGATGTAGAGACAGTGGCGTGATGTGGGGACTGTGGCGTGATGTGGGGACTGTGGCGTGATGTGGGGACTGTGGCGTGATGTGGAGACTGTGGCGTGATGTGGGGACTGTGGCGTGATGTAGAGACTGTGGCGTGATGTGGAGACTGTGGCGTGATGTAGAGACTGTGGCGTGATGTGGGGACTGTGGCGTGATGTGGAGACTGTGGCGTGATGTAGAGACTGTGGCGTGATGTGGGGACTGTGGCGTGATGTGGCGTGATGTGGAGACTGTGGCGTGATGTGGAGACTGTGGCGTGATGTGGGGACTGTGGCGTGATGTGGAGACTGTGGCGTGATGTGGGGACTGTGGCGTGATGTGGAGACTGTGGCGTGATGTGGGGACTGTGGCGTGATGTAGAGACTGTGGCGTGATGTGGAGACTGTGGCGTGATGTGGGGACTGTGGCGTGATGTGGGGACTGTGGCGTGATGTAGAGACTGTGGCGTGATGTAGAGACTGTGGCGTGATGTGGGGACTGTGGCGTGATGTGGGGACTGTGGCGTGATGTAGAGACTGTGGCGTGATGTAGAGACTGTGGCGTGATGTAGAGACTGTGGCGTGATGTGGGGACTGTGGCGTGATGTGGGGACTGTGGCGTGATGTGGAGACTGTGGCGTGATGTGGAGACTGTGGCGTGATGTGGAGACTGTGGCGTGATGTGGAGACTGTGGCGTGATGTGGAGACTGTGGCGTGATGTGGGGACTGTGGCGTGATGTGGAGACTGTGGCGTGATGTGGGGACTGTGGCGTGATGTGGGGACTGTGGCGTGATGTGGGGACTGTGGCGTGATGTAGAGACTGTGGCGTGATGTGGAGACTGTGGCGTGATGTGGGGACTGTGGCGTGATGTGGAGACTGTGGCGTGATGTGGAGACTGTGGCGTGATGTGGAGATTGTGGCGTGATGTGGAGACTGTGGCGTGATGTGGAGACTGTGGCGTGATGTGGAGACTGTGGCGTGATGTAGAGACTGTGGCGTGATGTGGAGACTGTGGCGTGATGTGGGGACTGTGGCGTGATGTAGAGACTGTGGCGTGATGTGGAGACTGTGGCGTGATGTGGGGACTGTGGCGTGATGTGGAGACTGTGGCGTGATGTGGAGACTGTGGCGTGATGTGGAGACTGTGGCGTGATGTGGAGACTGTGGCGTGATGTGGAGACTGTGGCGTGATGTGGAGACTGTGGCGTGATGTAGAAACGCCGCCGCAGCTGCATCAGCGCATAAAAGTTTTATGGACACGAAGGAGATGCGTTCATGAAGTTTACTTTTGATCAGATTGACGGTAGTTTGACCAAAAATCTATTTATCTGTCTATGTATACCCATACCAGAGAGACAAGAGAAAGAGACCAGAGAGAGAGAGACCAAAGTGAGAAAGAGAGACCAGAGAGAGACAAGACAGAGAGACCAAAGAGAGAGGGACCAAAGAAAGACCAGAGAGAGAGACCAGATAGTGAGAAAGTGACCAGAGAGAGAGAGAGAGACAAGAGAGGTTTCTGGATCAGCTTTTTTTCTGACAGAAAAAAGTAAAAGAGAGGACCCCCTCACTCAGCCAATCAGCTCTCAGCCCAAAGTCCCCTTTAGTGACTCAAAAGGCCTTTCCTCTCCAGATAAAAATCCCAAAAGTCTGACCAGACTTTCCTCTTTTTCCGAGGGAGAAGGGGGAACTCCTGAGTTTCCGAGATCACACGAACGCAGCATGAGTCAGGAACGTTTAGACAGAAAGGACAGTTACATAATAATAATAATAACACATTGGTATCATACAGCACTTTTCAGGATCGTCAAAGACACTTCACATCATTATCTCCCTTATCTCTACAAACACAGTGGTGATAAACTACTACTGTAGCCACAGCTGCCCTGGGGCACACTGACAGAAGCGAGGCAACCAGTCTGTGCTATCGGCCCCTCCCACCACCACCAACCTTTCTAATGGGGTTGACGTGTCTTGCCTAAGGACACAACCACACCTTGGCACTTAACAGCCGCAGCTGCCCACTGTGGCACCTGCTGTTCCCGGAGGTCTCCCATCGCAACACTAACTAGGCGCTTCCCCGCTTAGCTTCAGAGGTCTGACAGAGAGAATTTCTGGTCGTTGTTTGCTGCATTTCTCTCTGTATTGAGTCCGTGGTCGATCCTTAAAGTGTTATTGGGAAAACGGGAGCGAGGCCTCGGCCGTAACCGTAAAACTATCAAAGCGCCGCCATTTTGAAACGATTCTCACAAGGACGATGAGAATGACGACCTCTTATGTTCTGCTGTGGGAACTTTATCGCTCCGTGAGAGACGACGACTGGAGTTATCCCTCTATACATTAATTATTCACCAGTTTCATTGCAACCAATTAGTAACAAGACTGAAATGAGACTGTGACTTTCAAAGCACTCGTGAAACTTTGAATCGTCTAAATGCTGGAATCAAAAACATTAAGTTTACAAGCTTCGTTTATGCTCGTGGGATTACAAGGTTCCAAATGAATTAAAATCATCTCACTTACAAATCCATAAATATTCAAATTCAGACCAGATCTTAGACAGTGTCATGGAAAGCTCTGTTTTATTACCTTCTTCTACAACTGTGTCTTTACTTCTACCACTGGAGTCGCCTGGTCTTAGCCTGGTCTTAGCCTGGTCTTACCGCACCATGGTACTCATTTCATTTCATACTAAGGTCTGGATTTGCTCCATTGACTCCGTTAACAGGTGGGAGGGGCTAACTCCTTTTGCAGATTGAAACCATTGGATCTGAGTTTACTGTGACGTATGTAATGAACCCAAGTGAGTGAGGCATTTAGCATTTAGCCTAGCTTTAGCATTTAGCCTAGCTTTAGCCATCTCCTTTGCAAAATGACATGTATTAAACATTCCTCTTGCTCCGGCTTCAGTTTCTTGATATTTGGATTGAACCAGAACAGATTATTTTACTATCGCATTCTCCGACAAACTACAACCAGCAAATTCAGCACAAACTCTGACGTCACCGACACCGACCTACAACACCCGCCTCCCCCGCTCTCTGATTGGTCGGAGGAGATTCAACCGAGGAAACTGCAGCCACTAGGATCAGACCCAGACGTACATGTAGGAAATGACCATGGACCAGAGTTTACACATGGTAAGACCAGACGTACATGTAGGAAATGATCATGGACCAGAGTTTACACATGGTAAGACCAGACGTACATGTAGGGAATGACCATGGACCAGAGTTTACACATGGTAAGATCCAATCTCTGACAATGATTAAATCCATGTTAAACAGTTCTTTTTAGCCGTGCAGACAACAGTGGGATTTCCTATTTTTATCTTTTCCATGTACTGTGATAATTTATCTTGTTTTGTTCAGCACTTTTGCACTTCCAATCAATTAATTCAACTTATTTTATGAAATTCAATCCAAATTAGAACCCTTTCCCGCCTTAGTCCACCTCTTAAAACACTTTTGGCCCTTTTTGTTTTCGCACCATGAAGTCCGAAAGCCCCGAGTCGCTCCGGTCTTTCTGCTGCTCCTTAAACCAGCCCCAGGGTCCAACACTGAGCGGCCTTTTCTTCGGGCCGATTGCCCTCAAAACGATTCCAAAACGAGAATGAATATCTCTTGGTTAAAACATGTGATGCTAACGCTGCTAACGCTGCTAAACCCGTGTGGAATTTCAACTCCAGCCCGTTTTCTTTGCTCAAAAATGCGTCTCGTCCTCGGCTTCTTTTCTCATAAGGAATCGAGAGCGAGGGAGTTGCCAGCTCCGCAGCGATCTTATATATTTGGTGATAGAAAATTCATCTCGTCACTCGCAGCCGGGGCCAGACTTGTACATTTCAAGCGGGTGTCTAAAGAAAGTATGCGCAACAATATGTCAGAAAGCCTTCCCCGGCGGTGGACCAATTACCGCCATGTGAGGGAAGGCAGCTGTCGGGGCCTCGCTCTTATATATCGCATGTGTTTCTATGTTAGACCCAGAACCTGCAGAGAATCCACCGGAGAGAGAGAAAGGAGAGAATGAGGAGAAGAAGCAGTGATCATGTATTAATTATGGTGGAGCTGGAGTCTGTATGATAATGTGAGGAGTCCAGACACTGTATATCTTTGGAGCTACACACAGAGAATATGTAAATGTGATGCAGAAACATGGACTGGACGTGTGGCGTGTGATTACAATATTTATGTGCGGAGATGGTTTAAAGGACGTCTTATTTATGTGCAGAGATGGCTTAAAGGACGTCTTATGCAAATGCTTTATTAGTTTTAACCGTGTTTCACCTTTGTTCGTGATCGAGAATCCAAGAATATCAAGAACTTCTGTCATGAACGAACATAAGAGTCTGTGTGGAATCACTGAGACAGATTAGACCAGTCTCCACAAGCTTTTTGAATAACCTTTTTCAGTGAGAACCGTCCCTTGTCCAGTTCAAACAAACAAACTTGAACCGTTTCAGTCGTTATGAACTACTCAAAGTGTTATATGCATCAGGCTGGTCCAAACTCAGGTCCGGGGGGCCAATTGCGGCCCTCTGTGTCATTTTATTTGGCCCTCTGTCTCGCTAACCCACAGTAGTCTCTGAGATCATAAACACAAGCTCACTGTGTCATCCATCCAACTTCAGCTCAGCCAATATAGACCTTGTTCTAAAGCCTTCATATGCACATACAGGACTGACGTGTTTTTTGATTGTGTCAGAAACTTAAATGTTAATGATGCTAATGTAGCTGGTGAGATGGTAAACATGTGTCATTCAGCCAACTTCAGCTCTGTTATAGATCATTTTAAAGCTTAGAACATCCTGATGGCAGTCAAAACAGTTTTTCAGTCCGTGACTAGTCCAGACCCCTGGACTAGTCTGGTGAACGCTGATTTTCTCTGGATGTTTTTCGAACTGGAAACATGTAAATGGCAATTATCACCGACCTATTTGTAAACGGTAACCAAGAAACTTCAAAAACTGAAGCAGAAAGACACAAACATTTAATTAAAACTCAGGGAAAGTTATTCTCGATGTTTATATCACTTTTGTTCAATTTGATCCATTAACACGTCGTGATGGAGTCTATTTAAGGGGTTTCTCTCGCTCTCAGAACAACTTCTGTCACAAGTTTTCGCACATGTGAGTTTGGTTCTGTCACGTCTTTGGATCAACTTTAAGACAGAAACTGGAAATTATTTGGTTCAAAGTAGTTTGTGGCTAAGGACGAATATCTGGAACTTCTGCCACAAACTAGAACCAGAGAGAGACTAAAGAGAGAGAGACACCAGAGAGAGACCAAAGAGAGAGAGAGACCAGAGAGAGAGCAGAGAGAGACTAAAGAGAGAGAGACCCGAGAGAGACTAAAGAGAGAGAGACTAAAGAGAGAGAGACCAGAGAGAGAGACCAGAGAGAGACTAAAGAGAGAGAGACTAAAGAGAGAGAGACCAGAGAGAGAGACCAGAGAGAGACTAAAGAGAGAAAGACCAGAGAGAGACTAAAGAGAGAGAGACCAGAGAGAGACTAAAGAGAGAAAGACCAGAGAGAGACTAAAGAGAGAGAGACTAAAGAGAGAGAGACCAGAGAGAGAGACAAGAGAGAGACTAAAGAGAGAGACCAGAGAGAGACTAAAGAGAGAGAGACTAAAGAGAGAGAGACCAGAGAGAGACTAAAGAGAGAAAGACCAGAGAGAGACTAAAGAGAGAGAGACTAAAGAGAGAAAGACCAGAGAGAGACTAAAGACAGAGAGACCAGAGAGAGAGAGACTAAAGAGAGAGAAACCAGAGAGAGACTAAAGAGAGAGAGAGACCAGAGAGAGACTAAAGAGAGAGAGACTAAAGAGAGAGAGACCAGAGAGAGAGACAAGAGAGAGACTAAAGAGAGAGACCAGAGAGAGACTAAAGAGAGAGAGACTAAAGAGAGAGAGACCAGAGAGAGAGACCAGAGAGAGACTAAAGAGAGAAAGACCAGAGAGAGACTAAAGAGAGAGAGACCAGAGAGAGACTAAAGAGAGAAAGACCAGAGAGAGACTAAAGACAGAGAGACCAGAGAGAGAGAGACTAAAGAGAGAGAAACCAGAGAGAGACTAAAGAGAGAGAGACCAGAGAGAGACTAAAGAGAGAGAGACCAGAGAGAGACTAAAGAGAGAGAGAGATCAGAGAGAAACTAAAGAGAGAGAGACCAGAGAGAGACTAAAGAGAGAGAGACCAGAGAGAGACTAAAGAGAGAGAGACCAGAGAGACTAAAGAGAGAGAG